ATTCTTACACCCTTCGCATCCCTTCGCATTAATCACCTTCGCATTTTCATTCTTACACCCTTCGCATCCCTTCGCATTAATCACCTTCGCATTTTCATTCTTACACCCTTCGCATCCCTTCGCATTAATCACCTTCGCATTTTCATTCTTACACCCTTCGCATCCCTTCGCATTTTAACCTAATTAATCAAATGCGATTCACAAAATTTTTCATTCCAGATGCGAACACAGTTTAGTTCTTGAACTCTAAACTTGCGAAATCAAAATTTTCATATGTTGAACCCATATGCGAATATTAACCCAATTGACTTCAAATTGATTCATAGATGCGAACACTCGATTGTTTTACTTTCGCAAAATGAGCATCAACAACTCCACAATCGAGTTTTTAAATTCTTGCAACCAACAATTTCATAGTCCTTGACTTCGCGTTTTTCTTCATGAATCATCCCTCAATCATCAATCCAATTGCGAATCAAAAACTCATATGTTCTTGCTTTATCGATTCATCGACCTAATACACAAGGTTTAATAGAGTTGACCGGCTTGACTTGATGACTTGACTTGACTCAAGATTGACGATTGTCACAAATTGACCCGAATATGACGGTTGTCACATCATCCCCCCGTTAAAGGGAATTTCGTCCCGAAATTTGCACTTCGAATGGGGATCCAGGAATTTAGAGGAAAGATGGGGATGACTTTTCGTAGTACCAGAATTTGATTATGGCGAGGAATAACTCGCCCGATGTCACATGATTACTACTATGCATGCTTTAATCGATGCTAGATTTATCATATAAAGAAATTCGGGATTTAAATGTCGATGTTAGAAACACGTACTGATATTTGCGGGCAGTTCCGGAGTGGTTTCTCCCTCGGTGATTGCAAACACCCTCTTACCACCACCAGCATCTCTTGTCCTTGGGCATTCCCTTTTAAAGTGCCCTGTTTCTCCACACTCGTAACAGGTTGGGCTTACTCTAGAGCCGGGTACCTGGTTGATAGGTCGTGCTGGTGCCTTACAGAAACGAGCAGTGTGCCCCTCTCTGTCGCAGTTTTTGCAATGCATCTTTCGGCAAGCCCCAGTGTGATGGAAGTTACACTTGTTGCATTTTGGAAGTGTTCCAGTGTATGGTTTCATGGGAGTTGGTGTGGTGAGGGTTGTGGCAGCATGAACAGCAAGGATCTGTTGCTTCCTAGCGAGGCCTTGGGTTGATTGGTCCTTCTTGTTGTCCCAAAACTTTCTTTCGTTGTTCCCTCCTCTTGCTTGGGTAAGGGTGGTTGTCATAGTGTCATGGTGGGCATGATGGTCAATGAGTTTGCAAAAAGGAAAACTGATCAGATGGTAAGTTCCTACTAGTAAGGACAAGTCAGTTGTTATAGAATTTGATTTTTCCTGCATTTTTCTTCGATTTAAGAATTCCTTATATATAGTTCATAAAGGAAGTCCATATGAATGAACTTCACGAGTTAGTGGGTTTTGTGGTCTCTCTTAGATTTTTCACGAGTGTGCTCAAGGCGATTGGTGCGGATCGTATGTATTCTCGTTATTTGCATCAACCTCTGCGATACTATGGAGAGTTGTTCTACCCTGAATCTCGTTTCGGGCAACTCTATAGACTAGGATTGGAAAAATTTTATCTGCTGAGTTTCCTTCGTTTATGTTGTAGAAGCTTCGTTCTCTATTAAACGACATATGTTGGTCTTGTTCTTTGCTCCAGGTTTCCAAGCACTCTACCCAAGGAGGCATCGGGCCTTGAAAGCCGGTCAAGGGTTGGGATTCGGAACAAGAGTCATCGGGGTTAAGTTCTCCACTTCAGGGTCGGAGTCAGAACCATCAGCATAGCCTTCAGCTTGGTGACCATCTACAGGGGTTGGGTAATCATTCTCTGGCTCCTCTCCGAGCCATTTGGTATTGTAGTGGTTAGGGTAGTACGGGTCGTCGTGTGGGTGGAATCCAGCCATGATATCTTCGCGAGAAATGGGGATATAAGAAATGATTAAGAAAACGTACTAATTTGCTAATTATACGATGATCTTTATCAGGTACTTCAACAAATTGTTTAGTGCATACTAATTATATGTATTCGGGACAGGATAGACCTTCGAATAAGCGACCCTAACTCTAAATCCCCAATCCAACGAGAACAGGAAGTAGAGCAAAGATCCACAGATTTTTAAGTCTATGACGTCCTGGATACATAAAATTTTAATGTATCCACTAAGCAACTATTGACCTATTGATAAAGATCTACTTAGTTCTTGCAGATGTAATTTTTTTATAATGCCAAAATACCCCTATGGTATTTCATTGTGGGGGAACTCACTAAGCTTTGTGCTTACGATTTTTAGTTTTTGTTTCAGATCCTTCTTCTTCGAAGGGAAAGGATCTGACATGGTAGCAGCGCATCACACACACACAAACGATTTTCCGCATATGAGATTCTTGGGATTTGTACTCTAACATTGTTACTATTTTATGACATGCTTTTGAGACATATGATCTATGGTTTTTATGAAATGAGATAACTTGATGATGTTTTCTATAATTTGTTTTATGAGTCTTTAACTCAAAAATAAAATTTTTGTTCTTAAATTTTGGGATGTTATAATTGGTGAAGTTAGCAACACCCAACATTTGTAATCAAAACTCTTGGATTTGACTAATATGTTAAGTCAAATGGTGGTGGGAAGTGGTCAACAATTTATGGCTTATGGTCTTTGTGCAATGACGGGGAATTATATGGATAAGTATCACACGCTTGGAGGTGAACCGGACCCATGAGATTTTAAAACACATACAGTTCAAATTGGAGGAATAACTCAAACAAGGTGGTACCAGGTGGCAGGTTTAAGCATTGCTTGTATTTACTTAATATTTATTAGTGTTGAGGCGGTGTTAGGATGAGGTAGAGTTATCACCCTATGAAGTTAACTACGGTGGCTTAATCCCAGATGAGGGTATGTAGGCAACGATGGTCAAATGGCGTAGCTAGATTGAGTTTTTTACATATCAAGGTCTGCAATGTCGACTTTTGTGTATCGTCCAAAATTTGAGGTCTATCAAATGATTTTCGAGGTGGACAATTGTAAGTAGTCAGCTCAAGTGGTCAACCCAATTAGCTTGAATCGGCTTGAGTCAGCCCAGTAACTTAAGTTAATTGACCCACAACCGTTTGGACCAAGTTAAAATGCCCATGTATCCTTTGTTATGTAATACTCAGTAAAGAGAGGTAGGGTTAAGAGACCATCACGTATTGTAGAGGGAATATAGAGGTTAATTTCTCAACCTAATACAAAAGGCTCTCTCTTCTAGTGTGGATGTAGGCAAGAACCGTTGAACCTCGTAAATCTCTTGTTTCTTTCTCTATTTACTTTCATTATTTGGTTGTTGTCGTTGTTTGATTTTTGGGTCCAACGGCAAAAAGGGGAACATCAAAAGCACAAGGTTAGTTGTTTTTTCTTTGATTTCTGCATTGAAGCAACAATATTTTATGCATATAAAGGTTCAAAACTTTTATCTTTTTAATAAAAAAATCGCATCTCAATCAATAGACTTGGGACAAGAAAATTACTATATTGTTTACTTATCCAAATTTATTGGTAATTATATTGATTTGTATCTTCCTATTCTAATAAAAGAATAGTTTTAATCTCCTTTTGATATGTATCATCTTATTAGGCCTCCTAATTAATGCATATTTTATTCTGCTTTTGTTATGTGTCACCCTATTAGACCTCATAATTAATGCATGACACTTGTCAACCTATTAATTCTGCATTTCAAAATTCAAATTTCAAATTTTAAATTTCCCACTCTAACTACATTAAATTAATAACATTAGAATAAAATTAAAACAAAATTAATACAAATTATAATGTGATATAATTTCACGTATTTATTTAAATTAACGATTATAATTTTATATAACTGAAAAAATATCTCTTAATTAATAATTTAGATAAAATAATTGATTAATAATTTTAAATTCTTACTATGAAAATTTAATTAATTTTATAATGGTGGTTTCCACACGTTTTTAAATATATAAATGAAAACCGAAAAGAATTAATAACTTTGAAAAATAAAATTAACGAAGAAATCATTACCTTTTTTGTTTTGTTATGGTTGTAAATGCTCTAATATACTAATTAATTAGTTTCTATTTATATAATAGACAAGTGTCCAACACCCACTTAGAAACCTATCATTCCACCAACACCTTTTAACGAAGGAAGCAAGTGAGGAAACACCAGCATATCTCAAGGACTCGGCCTATTTTTATTATTTTAAAAACTTTCCATGTTTAATTCAATCTCCTAGATTTTTTATATATCGCAATCAGGTTTTTGTGTATCATCTATTAGTTTTCGAATCTTTTCATCTCTCCCTTCTCCACCATATACAGCTCCCAAGTTTGAATCGCAGAAGGTAATATTTGATTCTTGGGGTACTCAATGATTTCAGTTCATATATATCTCTGTTGGTTAGTTAGTATAAGATATGTATATTCGATGATTCATATGTTTCCTTGAATTTAAGCTTCTTGTATTTTAATTTTGTGCAAATTCATATAGAGTTTAAATTTCTTGGATTCCTTAAAATATGATGTTGAATCTGGGCTAATTGACTAGAACTTTTGAATATTATAATATGAATATATGTTATTGAGGAGTAGCTTGACTTTCAATGTATGACAGATTGACAGCTCAATTTGAGTTGGAAACAAGAATATGTCTTCACTTTTTATTTTCATGATTAAAAATATGTATCTGACAGTTCTTCTTTCCATTTCAGGTCTACTCATAGATTTGCTCGAGTATCTGTCAACACTTCACCTTCATTCTCGCCATTATCATATATAGTCCATTAAAATAAAACTGGGAATCCCAGTAAGAGAACGAAAAACGTGTTTTGACCATATCTCTTCAAATCCTTGAAATTCACCTTAGGTTATATCGATTCGTGTTAGAACTTTTTAAGTTGATTTTAGTAAATGGATACCAAAGAGGGTGTTTTGATGCAACGTTACGAGTTAGGGAAGATGATTGGACATGGGAATTTTGCAAAAGTCTACCATGGCAGGAACCTTGAAACCGGGATGAGTGTTGCAATTAAGATCATAGATAAATCAAAGGTTATGAAAGCCGGAATGATGACACAAATAAAGAGAGAGATCTCTGCTATGAAATTAGTCAAACACCCGCATATAATACAGCTCCACGAAGTCATGGCTAGCAAAACCAAGATTTACTTCGTTTTAGAATACGCTAAAGGAGGAGAGCTCTTTGATAAGCTGATTAAAGGGAAGCTGAAAGAAGATGCTGCAAGGAAATACTTTCAGCAGCTCATCAGTGCCATTGGTTTCTGCCATAGCCGGGGAGTTTACCATCGAGATTTGAAACCTGAGAATTTGTTATTAGATGATGAAGGGAATTTGAAGGTTTCAGATTTTGGTTTGAGTGCTTTGGATGAAACCAGGAGGCAAGATGGTTTGATTTATACAAGTTGTGGTACCCCTTCGTATGTTGCTCCTGAAGTGATTAACCAGAAAGGGTATGATGGGGAAAAATCGGATATTTGGTCTTGTGGGGTGGTCTTGTTTGTGCTTTTGGCTGGTTTTCTACCATTTCATGATTCTAACCTCATGGAGATGTATAGAAAGATCACAATGGGAAAATTCAAGTTTCCAAATTCGTTCCCTAATGAAGCAAAAAGTTTAGTGTCGAAGATCTTGGATCCAAACCCTGAAACCAGGGTTTCCATTGCCGAAATAATGGAAACCCCGTGGTTTAAAACAGGTTTGGTTTCCGAACCACAAAGAACCAACAAAATGGTTTCTGACAATCTGGGAAACCAGTCTGATTCATTTATGAGCTCTTCTTCAGAGAAAACTAGTGACTCCACGTATTCAACAGTAGGAACAACAGACGTTTTAGAAAAAGATGGTAACTTAAACGCGTTTGATATCATTTCATTGTCACGAGGAGTCAACTTGTCGGCATTGTTCTACCGCAATGCCAAAGATGAGAAAGAAGTTAGGTTCATGTCAAGACAGACGCGTGGGGCTATCGTTTTGAAGTTGGAAGAAATAGCTAAGAGTTGGAAGTTGAAAATGATGAAAAGCAACGGAGTTTTGCTAAAGATGGAAGGATTAGAAGAAGGCATAAATGGTGGTTTAGCCATTGATTGTGAAATACACGAGATTACGGCTAATCTTCACCTCATTGAGGTAAAGCGATTGGGTGATGATAAGTTTGGGTTTTGGGAGATTGTAAACGAGCATATAAAACCGGCCCTTTTTGGTGTTTTATAGCAATTATAAAACTAATGGAGTTATAGTTGATGATTGATAAAACGTAGAATTAACGAAGAGTATTTCATTTGTGTATCCATTTTTTCTGATTTATGGGCTACTAATTAGTTCATTTCACGCCAGTTGTTCACATTGCAGAATTAGATATATCATGTGACATGTATGATATGATTATTTGATTGTGTAAGTGAAAAGCTAGCCCTCATGGTATAGAAGTTTCAACGGGTTTAAAAACCTCAATGTCACTTCACTATTTTTTTAAACCATTCTAATAATGTCTAATGTAAAAGAAAAGTTATTTACACTACGTTTTTATTTGCTTAAGAAATTTAGCTATACTTGTTACATTTCTAACTTTTATTCATATATTATTATCGATTTATGTATTAATTTAATTTATTAAAATATATAAAAATAAGAATATTTTAAACAATTTCAATCACTAAAAAATATTGTTAGTATCCGGAAAATTGATATCCTAATATATATATATATATATATATATATATATATATATATATATATATATATATATATATATATATATATATATATATATATATATATATATATTTTCTACAACAGGTCACCCACGTTTGAATTCTTGAAATATATAAAATTCAAACTTGTGTCATGGTGCTTGATTTCCCAAATATGTATAAATCGTTAGATTTTAGATACAATCTAAAAATTTGGAACTTAAAACACTAAAATCACTAATAGTTACATATATTTTATAAAAATACTAAAATCAATAACATTGATATTAAGGCGTTGTATTAATAAATTAATAAATATATGAATATGATAATATTAATCAAATTATAAAAATATATATATTTTGAACAATAACAATAATATTAGTATTATCACATAAATTATAAATAATAATTATAGTATCAACATAACAAACTTTAAATATTAATAAATAAACTTTAGATAACAATAGTAATATCAAATTATCAACTATTAAAGCTGTGAATTAAAGACGCTTAACCTTTGTCTAGTGACATTGAAATGTTGACATTCTTTAGAGCCATTGAAGACTCGGTCTCTTACCTTTTTTGTTTTGTTTTTTTATTCGTGGCAGCGACGCTTTTAGTTTTGGGTCTTATTTTTATCGTCAGTTGTCTTTTTCATGCAGAAGTTTGGTTATTTATCAATAGTTTATTAGCAGCCTTAAAACGCTGCCTATTTTTATTTTAGAACGATACTCTTAAGATGCTTTCACATAGCTCCTTAAAATTAAGGATTCAAGTTTCGTAATAGAGATAGTTGAAATTAAAACATAATTGAAATTAAGAAATAGTTTAATAGTAAAGTAGATTTGTCGTTTAAAAAAGATATATTAGGCATATTAGAATATTATTATTACATATATTATTAACTTTACTATTATTAGGTAAAAATATTAGGGTTCCAGTATTTCCCGTAATTGATTTACCTTAATTTTATGAACTTGGTTAATTTAAGGAGCTAATAATATATAATATATTATTCCAGTATGGGTGAATATACCGAAGATTGGATGGAACATGAAGATCACAGACTTGCCTAGTTGCGACTTTATCCCGAACAAAGTGGATGTAATTTTGGGTATGTTTGGTTCGTTGGTGTTGAACGGTATTAGTCGATAAATAATCAATGTTGACATTGTCACAATATATGATGGTAGCCTTGGTCAGCGGACAATGAAGTTCCAGAAGAAGGTTACAAAGCCAGCATGTCTCGGCTACGACCTTGGCAACTCCCCTGTATTCAACGTCTACCCTTGATCGGGAAACCGTGGCTTGACGTTTTCATGAACAGGAAATAAGATTGTTGCCGAGATAGGCACAATAACCCCTAGTAGAGCGGCAAAAAGAGGCACATCCCCACCCCCCCCCCCCCCCCCAAAAAAAAAAAAAAAAAATTTATCAGAGTGCGCAATGAAGCTCGTCATGTAGGATTAATAAATTTGAAGGTCGTGATCAAGAATTCCCTAGATGTAGCGTAAGACACGCTTAAGCGCATGAAGGTAAGCTCGCGGGGATCACGCCTGCATGTAAAGACAAATATGTTGAACTGTATATGCAATGTCAGGGTAAGTGAAGGTCATGTACTATAGCCCGCCTGCGAGGCTACGATAGAGAGTCGGGTCGTTAACAAGGGTGCCCGGATGATCAAGCTTCATTTGAGTGTCAGCTAGTGTATGACAACGGTTACACAATGACATGTGTGTCCGCTCGAGAAGGTCTAACACATATTTACGTTGAGATAAGACTAATCTTGATTTGTCTCGTGTAGCAGAAATGCCCAGATAATAGGAAAGGTGGTCCAGATCTATCATAGAAAACTCTGTGGAAAGAAGGGAGATGATGCATCAGATCAATTCCACGAAGGATGCTTCCAGAATGTTTTCGTCAACATAGAGCACTAAGAAGCTAGTAGAAGCGCTATGCTTGAATGTGAACAAGGAAGAGCCTGATTTGTTGTAGACAAAGCCTTATCCGAGTAATAAATTTTGAAAACTGGTGGAACCATGCTCGAGGGGCTTGTTTAAGACCATATAGAGACTTCTGCAGATGACAAACATAATTTGGGTGTTTTGGGTGACGAAATCGGGGAGGCTGATGCATGTAAACAGTCACATTCAGCTAGCCATGTAAGAAAGCATTCTTGACTTCCAGTTGGTTAGTAGGCCATTGTTTAGAGGTGGTAATGCTCAAAACTATACGAATGGTGGCCGGTTTGACAAATGGACTAAATGTTTCATCACAGTCGATGTCGGGTCTCTGAATGTTTCCATTTACAACCAACCGAGCTTTGTACCTATCTAAAGAACCATCCTCCTTGTTTTTCTTTTTAAAAAATCACATAAAATGCACAATATTTGCTCGTTAGGGCCTCTAGACAAGTTTCCAATTTCCGTTAGTAATAAGAGCATTAAACTCATCTTGCATGACAATGGTCCAGTTAGGGTCACGGAGAACATGAAGGTGCTATTTAGGCGTGGAAGATTCAGTGGTGGTGTGGAGGTTGAGACAAGAAATAGGTTTAGTAATGCCATGTTTTGCACATGTAGCCATAGAATGAGTGGAAGGAGGTGGAAGTCTCGAAATAGATGGTGAAGGTTCTGACGGAGTGAGAGGTGCCTTGTTGTTTGTAGGACTGTGAGGAGACGAAGTAAGAGAGCTGGTAGAGGGGTCGTCAGAAGAGTTAGGGACAGTAGTGGGAAGTAGAGATTTGATGATCCGAGAGATGAAATAGGAGAGGGATCATCAAGGAAACGATAGGACGATGGTTGATCCGGAGTGACCGAGAGGAAAGGAAATGAGGTCTTGTCAAATGTGACATGACAATAGATAATGATCTTACAGGTAGCAATATCAAGACAATGATAACCCCGATGGTGAGTAGGGTGACTGAGAAATACACAAGCAGTAGGTCAAGGGGCTAATATGTGAGTTGGAGTTATGTATAGATGTTGGAACCTGAAAGTGTACCTCTAAGAATCTCTAACCTTTTAAAGATCCGAAGTCAGCCAGAGTTCCGAAATGGAAGATGTTACGCGATCAGTTTTGTGCCTGGACTTGAAGCCTTGTTCTGGATTAGATGATCAGGTGAAGGCATTCTGAAATGAATGTTGTGTCCGGAATGTTAGCTTGTCCAAATCAGTTCTTTATCCAATTGTTTTAATTGTTTTTGTCACTTAGCATGATTTAACTTGTCATAGGACTTAGTCTCTTTTGTTAAATACGGATAATCAGAGTGTCAGAGGTAACTCTATTATCCATTCCAATGTATGTAATCGGTTAATATTATGTATCATGTACTCCTATTTATAGGATCCTTCAATGTTGAATCATGTAACTGTTTATTCAAATTCAATAGTATCACTTCATTTGTCTTCATCTTTATTCTCTTTAAATCATCTTCAAAACATTCTCTTTGTTCTTCATTTATTATCTTTACTTGGATTATATTTCTTACTCTTCATTTATGACTTGAATACTTTGTTGAATGCATTAACTTAGACTTGATTGGTCTTGTCATACTTGACTGGAAAGTCACTTAGTAAGTAGACATTGATCTTAAGCATTAATTCAAGGTTTGAGTTTTCAAACCTTGTCCCTGCGTATCAGATCGTTTGTTCTCTCAGTTGGTATCAAAGCTTGAGTGGTTGTCCTTTGAATCCATAAGATCAAATTATAGTTGGTTTGAAATTACCTTGGTATTTCAACCATTTCTGTGTTCGGCATAAAAGTTCTTCTATATACCACTTTTGCTTGAAAATATCTTAACTTCAATGGCTGCTTCTAATCCTCAACAAATGTATTCAATACAAATAGAAAATAGTGTGGGTTGCCCTATACGAGCCCCACTGCTAGTTGTTAAAGAATAGGATCATTGGAAAGTTAGAATGGAAATGTTTTTACTAGCTAAAGAGAAAGGTGAAGCTATCTTGAGATCCATCAAAGAAGGTCCTCATGTTCCTGTTAGAATAATTGTTAGAGATTCTGCTGCTCAGCTCATGGGTCAATATGAAAACCGCCCAGCACCTCTCACTGAAGATGATATTGAGAAACTGCATGTTGATCAAATAGCCTTTTCGGAAATGGTATTTGGTGTTCCACCATCTCTCTTTAAACACATTAAGTTGTGTAAATTTTCCAAAGAGATTTGGGATACTCTTGAAGATCTGATCGAAGATCTGTTTGAAGATTGCTGAAATCGATGGTAGATTGGTGGCAAAAACCGACCAGGAAAAGATTATAGAAATCAATTGCATTAACAATAAGAAATAGATCGTAGAAATCGACTACTAGGATGAAGCCCGATAACCAAAGGAAACGGATGGGTGTTGTGATCGTCGAGGAGAGTCAGATTACAGGTCAACTATCGACGATCGAAGCATTTATTACAAATCCAGCGTTCTAGAGATTAGAGAGTGTTATTTGGATGCGGGATGAAGGGGAAAGAGAGGCAAGACGATTGGGGGAAAGAGAGAAAGAGAGAGA